GGGGGCCTACCGGTAGGGGGGAAAGGGAGCGAAAGCTGGGACGTTCGCCTTCCCGTCCGCATGCACCGGTTTCAACCCAACAGCTCAACAACGCACCGAATGCTCTCATCGCCTCACTCCTTCTCACTCCGCTCACCGTTTGCAGACCATGGCCCCCAACACGCCTGACGCCCCGCCCAACTCCTCTTAGTGTCGCAGTACCAAGGTTTGATTTTTGATGACATGGAGAACGCAGGAGAAGGGCGGAGCGTGAGAGGAACGACCGCAAGTGTGTGCTGGATTGTATCTTTGGAAAGCACGGCTCAGTCACAGATCGTCTGGGTTGGGTGGTTTAAATATGTTTTGGGCAAATAATATGGAGCTAAGTGGTATAGCGGTCGACTGCAGATCGACAGGTCTCCGGTTCAGTCCCGGATGGTTACTGTAGAAACCTTTCTTTAGATCTGTGTTTTGACAGCTGAAGTAGGGTGAACTGGTTTTTTGCATTCTGTTCCCAACATCTGTCAAATGTCACTCACCTTTTGAGGAGAGTTGAAGGACGCCGATGACGGTCGGGATTCGGGAAGACTGGGGACTGGGCACTTAGCTGGGCAGTGGGGAGGTGGCATTGAGTTGCAAGGTCCGATTGATACGATTGGCGATGGCAGCGTGGAATGCAATTCGGCAGCTCGCTTCGTGCGGCATGCATTTGATAACGAGCAGCTTTGTGCAGCAGTTTGACAATCGCCGACACGTTCATCGATAGTCTGCGCCGCATCATCGATGATTCCTGCCACCTGGTCATTCCCAACGGAAGACGGACTGGGGCCAGCCTCTTGGAGCGCGGGGATGATCAAGACCTATCAAGATTCAAGACTGATGGTCAAATAGCCTGATGGTGGATGGTGGCCTGGACTGGTCAGGACTGGTGGGTCATAGCCACGTTGCGATATGATACGTGGGCAGCCTCCGAGTTTGGGAAGGTTTGGGAGTTGGCGCGTGAGTCCAAGAGGTCTGGCAGGTGTTACTAGGGTTAGCGAGACAGACGCGAGGCTGGGGCGTTTGAGGGTTTGGGGTTTGGGGAGCCTGGCGTCGGGACTTCGCCAAATGCCGCCCGCGGACAGAAAAGTCGTCGTCCGTCGTTGACCACCTACCCAACCCCTGCTCTCCTTCCAAGGGGACACCGTTACCTTACACAGCGTGTTCTTACTACGTTAGTTCCTCCCGGGACAGACGGTTTCCTACCTACCCTGCCAGAAACTTTTTTTTGCTTATCCCTCGAAAATGTCCCTCGTCGGCGACTCCCCGTCCCTGCTCCCAACGCCGGACTCAACCACCCTGCCCCCCTTGCCTCTGCTCCCAACCTCAGCCCAAAACTCCCTGAACCCTTCCCTCTTCCTCGTGCCGCTGCTGGCCTTGCTCCTGTACCGTATCCTCCGCCCGCCGCCCCCCGTAGCCCTCCACCACGCCCCGCGCACCGTCACTCTCAAAGACGGCCGCCGCACCCTCCACGAGCTCGCAAAGTCCGTCTTTGCAGAGTCGGGCGGCTTCGCGTCGACCCCGTTCTTGTTCAACGGGCATCTGCAGACCATTTGGGCGAGCTTTTACTCGGATTGGGCGAAGGAGTTGGTCGACTATGAGAGGTTTGTTTTTTCGTGCAGCGGAGGGGGAGATCGGCCGTGGACGGGACGGTGTTCGGAGCGCCCGCGAAGCCGCTGCCTTAATTGCTGACCCCCCTAACCCCTCCCCTTTGCCCGAAAACCTCTACAGAGAAACCCTCCCCCTCCCCGACGGCGGCACCATCTCCCTCGACTGGTGTCCGTCCCCGCCCACCCCCGAAACGGCCCACATCCCAACCGTCATCCTCCTCCACGGCCTGACGGGAGGGTCGCATGAAACCTACGTCCAAGACGTGATCTTCAACCTCCGCAAAGACGGCATTCGTGCCGTCGTCTGCAACTTCCGTGGGTGCGCGAAAACGGAGCTTACGAGCAGTCAGCTCTATTGCGCGGCTTGGACTGATGATGTTAAGAGTGCTGTGGAGAGCATTTCGGCGAGGTGTGATGGGCCCTTGGTTGGGGTTGGGTTCTCACTTGGTGCTAATATTATGTTGAAGGTGAGGGGGAGGTTGGGCTGCGGGGTGAGCGGGCGTGGGGGTAGGCCAGAGGACGGCAGGGTACTGGAAAAGGATGATGTCGGAGGTTATTGTTCTCGCCCAAAAACCTCAACCACAAAATTTTTGTTCGTGCAGTACGTCGGCGAAACGGGCAAGTCTTGCCCCCTAATCGGCTGCGTCTCTATCGCGAACCCCTTCGATCTCCTCCTCGGAAACGCCGCGCTCCACCGAACGTGGATCGGCAAGAACGTTTACAGCCACGCCATGGCGCGTAACCTCGCCAGGCTTTTGGAACGGTACGCACCTGCACTTAACGTTTCCTCATTCTGCTGAATTATTTATACCCCCCCCCTAAAAACACTACGAACCCCCTCACCTTGATCAATTCCTGAATGAACCTCGAGACCGGCTTCCCGACCCACCGCCTCGGCACCCAACCCGCGAACCACCCCAAATGCCCGCCGCCTTCAGTGGTCGCTAAGACCACGTTCGGGTTCTCGAGCGTCTCGAAGAACGGGATGGCGTCTCTCGACGCAATCGGGTCGTCGAGTGCGGACAGGAGCAGTGTTGGGACCGACACGTCGCAGACGAATTGGGAGGATGAACCGCGGCGGTAATAGTCGGTGACAGAACGGTAGTTGAACGCGCGCCGGGTGAGGGCGTTATCGAATTCGATGATGGTCCGAGAGGTTAGCGCGCCGGGTATATCGAGCAGGGGGGGGGTGGGGTCGAAATGCTGGATGTGGCTGGGGGGAGCGGGGCGGTTAACGTTAGGGGCCGGGGTATAA